TATTTTTATTGTCTCCTTTTTATTATTTGACAATACTTTTTTAAAATGTCCATTTTAGCCCTGGCCAGGTGGCATAGTTGGTTGGAGCATCATTGCAAACAAAAGTTTGCAGGCAGGACACACACCTAGGTTGTGGATTCAGTTCCTGGTCAGGACATAGATGGGAGGCAACTGGTTGGTATTTCTCTCTCTCACATCAATGTTTCTCTCACTCTCTGTTTCCCTTCCTCTCTCTAAAATCAGTAAAAAACATATCCTCAAGTGAAGATTAAAAAAATAGTAATTAAAAAGTCCATTTTATTGTTTTTCCTTCAGTGAATTAGCATTTGGTTTGATTGGTCAAATTTATAATTGGGCTTTATTTCTTTTTGTTTTATTTATTTCTAATTTTATCTTTAGTAATTTTGGCTTAGATTTCCTTTGGATTTCCTTTGCTATTCACTTGCTAGTGTCTTAGGTTGAAAAAATTCACCTCATGTCAGTCTTTCTTGTTTTGTTATTGGTGCACCTGAACATGTGAATTCACGTGTAGCTCTCTAATTACTGTTTGTTTCTGAATATTTTGTAACTTTCTTTTTATTTCCTTTTGAAACCAAATATCATTTTGAAAACTTTTATTGAAGTTTTCAAGTTAGCTCTCATCTGTGTGACTCAATAGGTTAAGCATCGTCCTGCAAAGCGAAAGGTCGATGTTTTGATTTCCGGTCAGGGCACATGCCTGGGTCCCAGGTTCATAGGAGTGGCAGCCAATCCATGTTTCTGTCGCACATTGATGTTCCTCTCCCTTTCTTTCTCTCTCCTTTCCCTTCTCTCTCTCTAGACATAAATAAATAAATAAAACTTTGAAAACCTTTTAAGTTAACAAGTTTTTGGTTAAATTTCTGTTATTAATTTTAAATTTTATCTTTTTATAGTCAAAGAATACAGTTTGTATAACTTTTCATTTTTCTTTGGGGACAGGAAAGGAAAATCTGTTCTAAGTTCATTGTTAGGAAGTGAAACCTGCAAAGTCAATGTGATGCTCATCAGACTGCAAGGAGCTGGGCACCTCCTCCTCTTTTTTGCCCGGGGGGTTATTGTTTTCTTTACATGCTTCAAAGATAGTTGTGGCTTTTTCATTGCCCAGATCCTAAGTTAAAGCCCCAAGCCAGTGTTCCCACACTGTGTTGCATGGAGCACCAGTTCTGTAGATAATAGATGGTGTACAGGAAGGGCTCTGTTCGGAGACTGCTGAGTTAAACAGAACTGAGTACATTTGGCACCTCATAACCTCCGTATTTTTTAGTGCATTGACTGGCTTTATAAGAGGAGGGAAAAGCACAGTTATGTTTCTCAAACTAATATGGAATGCAACCCTTCTGTGGGACACAAGGTTAATACTCCAAAAACAGACACTGTATGCCTTGCTACCCAAAGCCCTATTTTCAAATATACTCCTATGAAGTTGTTTGTCTTGGTCAAATTTTATTTAGCTCAATGGGTCATTCCTTCATTCTACCCTCTCAGTATGCTTGTATCCTGAATCTACAATCCAGAGTTTCTGCCATCCCTCTGGTATTCTTACTGTGGCAGGTCAGATCAGCCTGCCTCCTGTGTTCTCCTGTGGTGCATAGAGAAACACTTGGAGGACAGGACCAAGGACAGAGCCTTGTGTGCCTCTGGAACGTCTTGCACACATTTCATCCCTGGAATGAATTTGATAGTAGAAGCTGCCTAAGCCAGCACTTGCCAAACTTCCTTGTACAGGTGAACCGCCTGGATTCCTAAAATCCAGACTCTGATTGAATGAGTTTGGCGTTGGGTCTGAGATTCTGCATTTGCAAAAATCTTCCCGTTGCTGCCAGTCCTAGGACTATATTTTGAGTACAAGGTATCAGAGCACTGTGTTGAGAAGGAATCTGAGGCAACATTTCTGCTCAGTGAGAGTGTGTTTTTGCATTTCAGTCGAGGTTTTACCTTTCTTGAAATAGTAAAGCACAATACACTGAAAATGATGCATTTTTCTCCATCTTTAATATTAAAATGGCTGCACAAAATGGATCATGATCTATTACTAATGTCTGCCATAGGCAGAGGAGCAAGTTGTGAATACACGCCACCTTTGCCCTACAAGTGTCTGTGTTGAAAGTGACTCAAGATGGTAAAGAAAAACAATAAGTTATTCACAGCATAGAGTGTTATGCAAGTGTGAAAATGGATCTATGTATTCTAGAAGGCATCAATTCCAAGATATAATGTTATATTATTTAAAAGGCAAGGTTGGAGAATAAACTATACACACTCTCCCATTTGTGTGAAATAATCAATAATCATATATTCTGACAATACCGAGTTGATAAAGCTGCAGAAAATGAGAGTATTCTTACTCTGCTGGTGAGAATGTAAACAGGTACAATCCCTTTGGAACCCCGGCATTATTACTATACTTGACCATGCCGTACTCTGTAACCCAGTGATTCTCCTGTGGGTATGCAAATGAGAGAAACTCATGCATTTCTCCACCAAGACTCACGGACAAGAATATTCACAGCAGCATTTTTAAGAATTTTATTTATTTATTTTTAGACAGAGGGGAAGGCTGGGAGAAAGAGAGGGAGAGAAACATCAATGTGTGGTTGCCTCTTGTACACCCCCTCTTGGGGACCTGGCTCACGACCCAGGCATGTGCTCTGACTGGCAATTGAATTGGTGGCCTTTTGGTTTAAAGGCTGGTGCTCATTCCATGAGCCACGCCAACCAAGGCCACAGCAGCATTTTTCATGTAATAGTCTCAGATTGAAAATGACTTAAATGTCCCTCAAGAGGAAAATAGATAAATTGTGGTAAATTCCTAATGAAATACTACACAATAATAGAAATGACAAAACTATGACTATATGTGATTGAATATCACAAAGAAAATGTTGATTGAAAGAAGCAAGAGACACATAAAAAATACTTGTATGATTCCATTCCATATATTTCAGATCCAGTGCCCTGGGTGGTGTGGCTCAGTGGATTGAATGCTGGCCTACAAACCAAAGGGTCGCTGGTTCAACTCCCAGTCTAGGGCACATGCCTGAGTTGTGGGCCAGGTCCCCAGTGGGGGGCACCCGAGAGGCAACCACACACCTATGTTTCTCTGCCTCTCTTTTGCCTTCCATTCCCCTCTCTGAAATAAAATAAAATAAAATAAACAGGAAAAGATACATTATATCACTTAGGGATAGAAATTCAAGTACTAAAGCTTTTTTTGTTTTGTTTTAAAGAGAGGGAGAGAAACATCAATGAGTGGTTGCCTCTCAGACTTTCCCTACAGGGGATCCAGCCCGCAACCCAGGCATGTGCCCAAGACTGGGAATTGAATCAGTGACCCTTTGGTTCTTAGGCTGGCACTCAGTCTTCTGAGCCACACCAACCAGGCTAAAGATTTTTTTCTTTAAGGCAAGGAAATAACTATCAAAAGAGTAAGAATTGTGGGCACCTAAAAAATGAGATTGTTATGACCAGCGAGGGGCATACAGGGAACTTTGGGGAGCCAGCTTCTCATTTCTATTCCTTCGCCTAGGTGTTAGATTTTTATTAAGCTCCACATGCAAAGTTTAAAAACATTTTCTATATGCTAATATAATGCATGCTATATACAATAAACTTATGTATAAATATATGTGATCATCATAGAAAATTTTTGGAAGGAGACACAGGAAACTGGTAATTATGATTACCTTATAAAGGAGAACTGGGGCCTTGGCTGATGTGGCTCAGTGGACTGACTGCCAGCCTGTAAACCGAAAGGTTGTTGGTTCAATTCCCAGTCAGGACATATGCCTGTGTTACAGGCCAGGTTCCCAGTTGGGGGCTTTGTGACAGGCAAACGATATCTCAGACACTGATGTCTCTCTCCCTTTCTTTCTCCCTCCTTTGCCCTCTCTCTAAAAAGTAAACAAATAAAATCTTTTTTTAAAAAAGGAGAACTGGAGGTTGGAGTATCCAGATGACAGGTTTACTTTTGATTTTATGTCTTTAGTTCAGTTTGAATGTCTTTAGCAGCTCTATTAAAAACAGTTCATTGAAAACCAGTATCTCTCATTGCCTGCCTGTCCTCCAGTTTCACAAATTAAAAAGTAGTATCATTCTACTTATACATGGAAACTTTAACAGACATTATTCCATCTAATTCCCCTCATGTCTTGGCATAGGGGAGGATTCTACTTCCCATTAAATTTAGCCATAACCATGTGACTTGATCTTGCTAATGAAATATGAATGGAAATGACATGTCTCACATCTGGAGAGAAGCAGTTAACAATCAGTGAGTATCCTCTGCTTTCTTTTTCCTCTGTGTTTATGACCAACAGTGTGACAGGTAGGGAATCTCCTATTAACTTAGATTTCCTAATTGCAATGTACATGTAATGTGAGTGAAAAATAAACTTGTACAGTTTTGAGCCTCTTCAATTTTAGCATTATTTGTTATTGTAGCATTACCTAACCTGTACTGACTAAAATAGAGCCCTTGTTTTCCCAAACACACAGTTTCATGAGGGCTTGAGCTCCAAGGTCATTTTCCCTTTCATGACCAGACTGACATACCTACCTTTTAAGCTGTTTTCTTTAGGGCAAGATAAATTGACAATAAGTGATCATGGTGGGTTTTTAGGTATCTAAAAGATGAAAGTCAGATGCCTCTGAAGTTTAAAGAAAATCCAAATGAATGGTCATCTGCAGAAAGGACTGTCTTACACTTTTTCCCATCGGTGAACTCTTAGATGAGGAGTATGTCTTTTTGTGTGGAGGAAGAGAGTGGAAGTTAGAAGAGGGACAAAGGATGCTAATGAGACCTACTTAGTCATAAAGAGATTTTTTTTTCTTGCCTAGTTGGGGGTGAGGTCTCTCTGTGTGGCTCACAGACCTTAAAATCTCCCACCTCAGTATTTTTCAAACTTACCAGATGATTATTAAAAAGGAATTATGGAAATTACTTTGTTTTTTTGTTTATTTTTGTTGTTGTTGTTTTCGTACAGGGAAGAGGACAAATGCAGTCCCCCATTACCACAAATTATATAGTCAAGTTTCCCACATCGGGGAAACTTCAGGGATCAGCACACCCAGAGTGCAGTGTATAAGCCTTGTCCTGGGAAAAACCACCATGGTAATCAAGGGATCTCCTCTGCAAGGTAAGTATGGAACCTACTTTGAACCCGGTATTCAAGGAGCAGTAAAAAAGAAGAAAAATCAATAGGCCTAAGAAAAATAAAACTGGGAAAGGAGAATGACTTTGAGGAGACTCAGAAAGAACCCAACTGGAAATAGATGCATGATGGGCCAGCAGCTCTATTTGTGTTACACATCGCTCTCCTGGTTGTAAACTTGAGCAGCTTAAAAAAAGAAGAGCGATTCTTCCTGGGCATGTGGCTTAATTTATTTGTGTCCAGTGAGACCCTCCAGCAGTTTTCAATAGAAGAAGCTTAAGTATATTATAGTAATATTAAATTCAACCACATAAAACAAAAACGAGAAATATATTTTTTTAATTATTTCTAAATTTGTGAATGCAATGACATGATATATGGCATTTGTTTTACAATAATTCAGTGGGGGAAGACTATATGCAAAATAGAATTGGCCATGAATAAATAATGTTAGAGATGGATAATGGGGGCTCATTAAGTTATTCTCTTCATTTAAGAACAAAAACCTCACCACTTTTATCTATTCATATGATTCTAATCATCCACTGAGAGCTGCCTTCTAAAGGAAATGACCATAGAATATGATAATGTAATGTGTAAATAATTTTCACTAAAATTAGTCATCACTATACATAACTGCAAAAAAGCATATAAAAAAAAACCCTGCTCATTCTACACTGCCCTTTCATACACCTCTTTACTTTAGCTGAAGTAAATAGGAATTAATAAATAAAAACAGTTACTTAAATCCTAAGTTAAAAAATATTCATAGATTAATATCAACACAACATGAACAGTAAGGATTGGTGTTGTAGTCAAACCTATACTATATAGTATTTGGGTCAAATACATTTAAGAAAGTTTAGTGCTGGCTGGTGTAGCTCAGTTGGTTGGAGCATTGTACCATAACCAAAGGGTTGCAGGTTTGATTTCCAGTCAGGGCACATGTACAGGTTGTGGGCTCATTCCCCAGTTGGGGTGTGTGCAGGAGGTGGCTGATCAGGATCGGGGTTTCTCTCTCTTTCTCTCTCCAGTTGATGTTTCTTTCTCTGTGTGTCCTTTTCCCCCTCTCTCAATAAGCATAAAATAAAACTTAAAAAAAAAAAGAAAGAAAGATCCTGGATGGTGTGGCTCAGTGGATTGAGTGTAGGATGTGAAACAAAAAGTTGCCAGTTTGATTCCCGGTTGGGGCACATGTCTGGGTTGCAGGCCAGGTCCCTAGTATGAGGTGCATGAGAGGCAGCCACACATTGATAATTCTTTCCCTCTCATTCTCTTTTTCTTCCCCTCTCTCTAGAAATGAATAAATAAAATCTAAAAACAAAACAAACCCAATGACTTGGAACATAAGGAATGAAAAAACAACCAATTAGAAAAACAAAAAGAAAAAGAATTTGAAAAAATGACTATAGTATAAGCAGCCTCTAGGACGATTTCAAGAGTTGCAACATTCGCATCATAGGAGTGCCAGAAGAAGAAAAAGAGTAAGAAATTGGAAATTTATTTGAAAAAATAATGAAAGAAAACTTTCCTAATTTGGTAAAGGAAATAGACATGTAAGTCCAGGAAGCACAGAGAATCCCAAACAAGATGGATGCAAAGAGGCCCACTCTAAGACACATCATGATTAAAAGACCAAAGGTTAAAGATAAAGAGAAAATCTTAAAAACAGCAAAAGAAAAGCAGTTAGTTACCTACAGGGAGTTCACATAAGAATATAAGCTTATTTCTCAAAAGAAACTTTGCAGGCTAGAATGAATTGGCAAGAAATATTCGAAGTCATGACAAGCAAGGGCCTATAGCCAAGATTGCTCTGCCCGGCAAAACTATCATTCAGAAAAAGGGCAAACTTCTGGCCAAGATGGAGGCATAGGTAGATGCACTTTGCCTCCTCCCACAACTGAAAGAAAGAGAACAACAAATTTAAAAACAAAAAACACGCCCTGGCTGGTGTAGCTCGGTGGATTGAGCATGGGCCTACGAACCACACAGTCGCGGTTTGATTCCCAGTCAGGGCACATGCCTGGGTTGCAGTCCTGTTCCCAGCAGGGGACACATGAGAGGCAACCATACATTGATATTTCTCTCCCTCTCTCCTTCCCTTCCCCTCTAAAGATAAATAAATTAAAATCTTAAAAAAACACACACAAAAAAACCAAGAAACAACCAGAACTGACAGAAAATCAAACTGTACGGAAGTCCAACAACCACAGATTTAAAGAAGAAACGTTCATTCAGTCTAGTAGGAGGGGCGGAGATAGGCAGCTGGGGTGGAGAGGACTCATGGCAAGGCAGTGGCTGGAGGACTAGGGTGGACAAGGTGGAGGCTCATGGACCGGCGAGGTTGTGGCAGGCAGAGCGGGCAGTCACATTTGCATGTGGATAAATGGAGAAGCAACTAGGGAGTAAGACAGGCCTCAGCACCCAGTGTTACAGCACTTGGAAGGCTGCAGCTGTGGGAGAAACTCCCAGCCTCACAAGAGAGTTCGTTGGAGAGACCCACAGGGTCCTAGAATGTACACAAACCTACCAATCCAGGAATCAGCACCAGAAGGGCCCAATTTGCTTGTCCATAGTGGAGGGAGTGACTGAAAGCCAGCAGAGAGCACAGCAAGTGGCATTGTTCCCTTTTGGACCCCTTCCCCCACATACACTGCCACAACATAGTGACGTTGGTTGCCCTGCCCTGGCGAATACCTAAGGCTCCGCCCCTTACTACATAACAAGTGTGCTGAGACCAAAAAAAAAAAAAGGCCCAAATGAAAAAACAGATAAAAGCTCCAGAAAAAAATACAACTCAGTGACAATGAGATAGCCAACCTATTAGGTGCACAGTTTAAACACTGGTAATCAGGATACTCACAGAATTGGTTGAGTATGGTCGCAAAATACAGGAAAGAGTGAAGGCTATGAAAAGTGAATTAAGGGAACATGCACAGGGAACCAACAGTGAAGGGGAGGAAACCAGGACTCAAATCAATGGTTTGGACTGGAAGGAAGAAACAAACATTCAACCAGAACAGAATGAAGAAACAAGATTTCAAAAATATGAGGAGAGGCTTAAGAACATCCGGGACAACTTTAAACGTTTCAATATCCAAATCACAGGGGTGCCAGAAGGAGAAGAGGAAGAGCATGAAATTGAAAACTTATTTGAAAACAGAATAAAGGAGGACTTCCCTAATATGGCAAAGGAAATAGACTTCCAGGAAGTCCAAGAAGCTCAGAGAGTCCCAAAGAAGTTAGGCCCAAGGAAACACACACCAAGGCATCATCACAATTACATTACCCAAGAAGAAATATAAGGAGAGAATCTTAAAAGCAGGAAAAGAAAGGAGACCTACAAATTCTGGGAATTACCTACAAAGAAATTCCCATAATACTGTCAGCTGATTTCTCAAAAGAAATCTTACAGGCAAGAAGGGGCTGGAAAGAAGTATTCCAAGTCATGAAAAGCAAGGACCTACAATGCATCCAAGATTACCCTATCCAGCAAAGCTATCATTTAGAAGAGAAAGGGCAGATAAAGTGCTTCCCAGATAAGGTCTAGTTAAAGGAGTTCATTATCACCAAGCCCTTATTACATGAAATGATAAAGGGACTTGAATAAGAAAAAGAAGATGATAAAAAATATGAACAGTAAAATGATAATGAACTCACAACTATCAACAAACAAACCTAAAAAACAAAAACAAACTAAGCAAACAACTAGAACAAGAACAGAATCACTGACATAGAGATTACATGGAGGGTTATAGGTTTAGAGGGAGGGGAAGAATAGGAGAAAAGGTACAGGGAATAAGAACATAATTGGTAGGTACCAAATATACAGGGGGAAGTTAAGAATAGGATAGGAAATGTAGAAACCAAAGAATTTATATGTACAATCCATGGACATGAACTAAGGGGGGAAATGCAAGTGGGAGGTGGGTACAAGGTGGAGGGGAATGAAGGGGGGAGCAATGGGACAACTGTAATAGAATAATTGAAAAGATATATTTAAAAAATAAGAAAAAATTATAAAAGGGCAGATAAAGAGTTTCCCAGGTAACAAAAAACTAAAAGAGTCCATAATCACCAAACCATTATTGTATGAAATGTTGAAAGGACCTACTTAAGAAAAAGAAGAAGATCAAAACCATGAAAATAAAATGGCAAGAAATGCAACTCTATCAAACAGGAAAAAGTCGGCTCGTGCTGTCTGTCACTACTAGAACCAATAAATAGAGACAAGGATTGAATCTTTATGGGTCCTTTGTTCAGATGCGGGGAATGTGAGAAGAGGGTAGGTTAAAAAACTTCTTAACATCTCATTTCAAGCTGACCTTTGTATAAGGAGAAGAAAGGGTAGGTAAGGGGGCTGGGGAAAAGGTTAATCGCAGAAAAGTTGCAGTCCTGCAGGGATTGTCCTAGTAGCTCTTTATCTATTGGTCAACAATTCTTTATCTGCCTCACATTTTCCTCCCTGCAGCTCAAGAGCACAGATACCATCTCCCTCTGCTTGCAGATCCCCTGGGGCACACAGATTGAATTGCTTGTGGTCTGGCATTCCAGTTACTAAATAATAGTGTTCCACAAGCATTAATCACTTAACCCTATCAACTAAGGCTGAAATCTTTCATCTTGAGTTCCCCTATCAACCCTAGTCTCGTAAAACCCTGTGGTCAAAACGAAGGTGGGGGTGGGGCTGCAGTCATCTGATGTCTTGACGTGGCTGGAAGATCCACTTTCTAGAATCACATGGCTATTGGCACAAGGTCTCAGTTCCTCAGGACAGGGCAGCTGGCTTCCTCCAAAGTGAGTAATCAAAGATGACTCAAGTGCTCTCTTCCTAGGGGCACGCTCATGGCTTTCCAGTTTCCCTTTTCTTACTTACCCCTGGTGTATTACCTCTGCCTTTCTATCTACTAAAACCCAAGGACCCATCTACTACCTCAGTAACTTTCTAAGTAAACTTTCTCTTATATTCTGAGAAAACAGAAACAAAGGTAAC